ATTAAGTGAATCAGATGTTCAGCATTACACAGCCTCTCCTTTGGTTACACACAGCTGCAGGCACTGGGTGGGACTCCAGCGCTTGCAAATACCTAAGAGGAAACACAGAGAACAAAGCCAATATACAAGCAGTGAGAGGCTCTGTGCAATGTTATGTAATGTTACTGACCTCTTTTATGGGGCAGCTGGAATACAGTTACCTTCTGAACATGTTAGTTGGATAACAGAAAGAGAGATTAATGAAAGCCTTTGTTAAAATTCACTTGGAAGCAGTCCAGCTGTAATCATCTCCCTTCTGATGTTCCTTGAGCACCGGACAACTCATCACACAAGTATTTATGGACTGGTGACTGTTTGCACACAGATCTTAAGTCTGAGATCCTCCTATGTTGTCAAGTAAAATCACTAACACTTTGACTCTAGTAAGGAGAGGAAGAGGAGAGAAAGAAAGGAAAAGACAGGATCAGCATGTTAGAGACAAATGAGAGGTACAAAGTTAAGGACATTCTGAAACATTATCCATATTTCCTGCAGTCTGGGCACAGGACAAGGCATCACACAGGCATGCTTGTGGTGATTCAGGCAGCAGGGCAGCACCAGCTCTCCCAGGTAACAACTGTACACAGTGAGCAATCACAACACTTGGAGCACTGCAAATCCACAGGCTGTAATTTGTTCAGGCAAATGACTCAGCCACAATTGATTAATCAAATAGGCATGTTTCTTACACTCTCAATTAGCCAGCTCTGTAAAACCAGGATCAATATGAAGTCAAAAAAACCTGCTAAAAAGTAGCACAACACCCTCCCTCCCTCAACACACTTCCCCAATTAGCTTCATATTTCTTTTTGACCTGTCAGTCATCTCTGTCACTGCGGTTTTGGTATTTCAAGACAACTGTCTGGATGGTTCAGAGTTGCTGCTTAAGTTGCTGCATATCTGGGTGTGGTGGGAATACCCACAATAATGACTTCGTCTTGCAGTAGGTGAGCACTAAACACAGTCTACCAAAACAATCTCACAGACACCTTGGTTGCAAGCTTCATGGAGATATGCATAGCATGGCAAGACACAGGTGAGGATAAAAAAATTACCACCATGTCAGTTATTAGAACGAAGCAACTATAAACAAAACAGAACTGTGTTGATATCCTGGTTCCAACTTTTGAGTTCTCTGCACCGTTGCTTGGATTGAACATGATGCCCAGGATAACAATTGCATATATATTGGTAACAGTATTTAAAGGATTTGTTTTCTTGTTTGCAGTCTCCACTGCTGGTTTGCATATTAATAAATGACTGTGCCTAAATGAACTGCACAAGAGGAAGGAGTTCCATTGCACAGCAGATAGGCAGGTCATGCACCAAGTAACATTCAGGAATCCCATCTTCTTGTCTACAATGAGTACCTGGTCATTTCTGCCCATGGAGAACAGGTTGGATGTGGGGCTGGAAAGGGCACTTGGTACTGCTTGGTCCCTTAGGGTAAACCAGGCTTAACTTCAGTCAAAGACCTTGGGATTGTTAGCAAAGCCCAGCTTTGTTAGGCAGCTGTCATGCTCGAACTGGCTGATGGCTGGGAGGTGTGGGGAAGGGAAAGCAGAGGAACAAAGCTGCCCAATCATCACAGGAGAACTGGGACTGCGCAAACAACTACAGACAGACCTGATTCATCCCAGCAGATCAAAGCAGAAGAAGGTAAAGCAAGACTGACAAGATCCGCCAGACACAACCAGACATCAGGGTGCAAAAAGCCCTCATAGTCTAGTCCTGCTCTCATTTTTTCCACAACAGAAGGACCAGGCCTCTGTCTGCTACCTAGCCAGCTTCTAGCCACCCAAGGCCTTTTACCCCAATTCTGGCTAATCTTTTCCAGTGGTTTTGCTTCCTAGCTTTGCCTTCTGGTAACACTAACATTAGACTTTTGAATAAATAATAATTACAAAACACTGGCATTGAGATTTGCTGTGAGAAGCATTTTTCCATGGCAGGGATGAAAGCTGCTTGCCAGTCACCCACAATTTTGTTTGGCAAAAAAAAGAGAGCGATTAAAAAATAAACACAGAGTAGTCAGATTTACAATGGTTACCTGTCTCCTACATGTTATTTCTCCAAGAAGTACAGAACATTATTTGGAGTGATTTTGCACTCAGTATTTTCCACCAGCTGCCTGTGGCCTGGAGTGCCAGGGATCTGAATCAGGGTCAGCCCCCTGACACAGCAGAACTACAGGCATATTTAGGCACATGTTTGACTGTGTCTTGCTTATCCTGCAGACTGGCAATTTGAATGAAAATCCATTAAAAACCAGGCATTTGATTTTCATGTATGTACTTAAAACATTTCTAAAGTCACTCTTGAGTGAGTCACAACACCTCCAATAACCAAAACCTTTAGATGCTTGTGTCTAAAAATGGAGTCAGGAGGCTTGCCCTTCACAGTCAAGACTCATGCAAGCCAGTAGTGCTATAAATCAATTCTTCCATAAGCAATAACAGCTCAGCTGTGAATCACTGGAATTCAGTGACTAACCTTTGGTGGATATTAGAACTTGTTGCCTTAACCAGGGTTTTTTTTCTTACCTCAGAAACAGCAGAAACAAACTAAACTTGGTCTGTCTTAAGTGCATACAGGAAGAAGAGGTAAAATACTAGTAATTTATAACAATTGCTTGAAAGGAAATGCTGTGATCAATAGGTGAAAAATTGTAATCTTTTTAATCTCTATTTGTGCCAATAAATTATTAAAATCAGTGTTTGATCAGGCTTTTTTAGAGTAGCTCTCATCTTGCTCTCCAAAACTAGAATGTGCAAAACCATTGCAAAAAAGTTCTTGTTCTGCTCTTTAAGAAATGTAGAGCAAAAAAAACCCTGCAAGAACAAGTACAGAATAGATCTGGATGACAGTCATTCCAAAGGCAAAATTATTACAGGCTATTATCTAGTTTTCTGGAGGAGCCATGGACCAGCTGGCTGTGATGTTCTGCTCAAAGTTAAACACAGACAGGAAACCGCATGTCTGATACTGTAAAAATCGTTTGTCTTCCTGCCATGGCTAACCAGGCAAGCAACCCAAAGGGGCTGTTTTCATTTAAAAGAAACACTAATCCACAACAATAAAAAAGGAATGACAAAGCCTCAATTCTCCCCCCTCTTGACTGGAGTTAATGCCTGTGTTTATGAATGAACTGGAAATGTTATGGAGTGAAGTTTTACATTACTTTAATTTTTATCTGTAGTTATTCACTTAATACATATGAATGCAGCACATGGTTTTCATGAGTCACCTGAAGTGCTCACAGCACGTGACCTAGAAGGAAAGGCTCCAAGGAAGAGTGAAAGGAATTTGGGTAAAAAGACCGGGTTTAAACTTCTACTACTCCTTGTAGGTTGATCTGGAAGAGTGAGTGAGCTGCAGAGTTCATAGGAATCAAGGCACTTGGTGCTGAATTTTAGAAAGGTTTTCATAACTGTACATACACACCAAAGACACATATTTATCAGTGATTTCATTCAGCTACATAGCTCCAGGAAAAACAGCTATAACGTGGCTAACATACAATTTAGCCAAAATCCACAAGGGTGTGGTACATATTGTACAAAAACACTAGGCAGCTGACACAGAGTAAGATCTCTTCTCTGGGGACACATTCTCTTCAATAAAAGCACGCAATCTGTCTACCTGGGTATACCACTTGTGCTCATATCAATACCAGTATATGCTCCAAATTCTTTAAAGGTTACCCAAGTAAGGGTTGGTCACACAACCATGGATGAGCAGTCAGGTTGTCTGGTTTCAAATCAAGCTTGACGAGGGGATGAGGAAGACGGGGATGAGGGCTGGCACCACAAAGGGATAGCCTGGGCCAAGGGAAGCAAAAACATGCTAGCTTGCTCTTGGCTAATTTGGTGTGGTTTTGAGACCTAAACTAGTTGGCCTTCTTGGAGGTTAGGAAGTGAGAGCTACAATTGCTCACACAGTCATTCACCTCAGTGCAGTGCCACACCATATTTCCCAGGAATGGAAACAGCATCCCAAGCCTTCGTTATCTGAGGTAACAAGGACCTAATTATATCCTTTTCTGAGGAATTTATGGGTGATGGGGATGGGTGTGGTGTGCCACACCCCTTCAGAAGTGTGAATACATACATTTCTCCATAGGAGACCTCACCCTTCCCTGTGAGAAACCTGACTTTGTCTCAGTAAAATAATCACAGCAGGTAGCACAAAATAAAGCAAAAGGGGTGTGTGCACCCACACACATCTGTGTGTGCAGCAGTAGGTCCAGCAGCACTGCACACACCTGCACTGCCTTCACTGTGTCTGCAGTGGCCCTCAACAGAGCTCAGAAGTGGAATGGGGATGGGTTATGCACTTGTGGTTTGGTCTACACTCACATTTCTCTGGTTTACCTGAACTCACATACACTGCCTTGTGCCATGTAGGTGTGGGGGAATATATTCCCCAGAGAAGGAGCCTAGCTTCTTCACACCCACCACAAGGGAGGTGCAGATGATCAGTTACACCAGAGAAGCTGACTTAAAATTCACATCCTATCAGGTTATCAGTAACATCTCTATATGCAGATAACACACTCAGGCAATACAGCCTTTTAGAAGAGGTAGGACCTTAAAAATAGCATTTGCCTTTAGTTTGAATTTTATAATGTAATTAGCATGTGTTGCATTTTGGTGTGCCCACAGAACAACTGTAAACATCTTGCTTTCATCTTCCATCAGCTTTTCAGTGCAATATCTTGAGCTGAATATGAGACTTACTTCAAAATGAGGACAGCCTGGCAGGAAGAAGTACCCTCAGAACACAGAAAAGAAAGATTGAGATTTTTCAAGATTCAAGAAAGACTAAAATAGCACCTGCCATTAGAAGTTTTCCCCTTCAAAATGCAATTCCAAAGGACATCAGTATAACACAGTTAATATTAACACAGTTAATATTACTTGCAAGGAATGTAGGAATGCCAGGTAAATTATTAAACCTACCTGATGTAAAAATGAGCACATCATTGCATTCTTCACCTTTGCAGGAACACATGAACATCAATCCCCCATCATCCTTCTTTTCCCTCATTAAACACTGCTCTGAGTCATAGTCATCCAAAATGTGACCATACAGTTTTTCCTGGGGGTCGTGGCATATTGTTTCTAATGTCACATTTTCATCATTCTGTCTCCTAAAAATGAAAAGGAGAAAACTGAAATCAAAAAAGAAATATTTTATAAAGGGAGCAGACAGGACCACACCTGGCCAAAATTTACCTCTTTTGAGAACATAAACAGCATTTAAAGAGCATCCTATGTTTTTCTCTGTCTTTGTTGAATGGGGCAAATTTGGCACTGTCTGGGCTCCTCACAGCTGTACAATGGCACAGCTATTCCTGAATCATATTCCTGCTAAGCTCACAAGAGTGCCTCTGAAAATCTCACTTAGAATTATTCAAGCTAATGCTTGATGAACTGCTGTGAACTTCAGAACATACTTTTGGTTTTTGTGGTCACTAAGTAGACAGTAAAAATCTGTGGGAAATTACAAGAAAAACTGAATTATTTCCTCAAAATCAGAGAATTTCTAGTGAGTTGGTCTTTTCATTTTGCTTTTGAAGCCTACAATCAGCACAGCTTGTGGACTGAAGGAGTTATATACAAAAAACCCCCCTCAACTAACTAAAACCACCCCAGCAAAATATCAATCATAAAAACTGATGCAAGTTAGAGTTGCCTCACAGTCAGGGAAATATTTATAGCTGATAATCTGGACCATATTCCTGCGTTTTGTCCTGGTCCACAGATTTAATTTCATTGACAAAAGACTTGTTGGCAAAAAAGCATTTTACAGTTCTCAACTTACTTGCCTTTTGGATAAATGGTAATGAAAAATCCAACATTTATCTTAAATTGTACAACAGCTCCTTTTTATGGCAATAATAGACACTGATGACTTACTAAAGAATCACAGGAGAAATCTGGAAAAGCACACTGGACTGATCCTGAACTGAAATGCCTACTTCCAATTATGCTGAACATCTCAATTCAATGGACACAACTAATACCTCAGTACATGAATTAGTTATGTCCCTCTGTAAGTGGTTCTAATTAATTATTTTACTAAATCAGCAGCAATACTGAAAACACTCTGTTGTGTTCCTTTAGTCCAGTTATTAACTCATTAAGAGTGGTTCTGGCTTTCCTTGGTAGGACTGGATTCCCATTTATGAAAGGGCAAGGGATGCCCCAGTTTTTAGACTGGAACACAAGCTTAAAGCAAATAAATCAAAAAAAGATTTACAATTCATTTTCATAAACTCTTGACTTCTTTGAACCAAGACAGGGGCTACAAAAAAAGCATCATGCCTACATCAAAGTCTCCACCTACACAGAAGTTTTTTCCCATTAAGAGGAAATATTTCTACCTGTACATGGCAATAAGCCTCTTGTGATAAACCTACATAATCTAGTTCCCTTGAAACCTGAAAGAGAATTGTCTTTGTTCAGCAACTGTCACTACAATCCTCTCTTGAGCCTCAAATCTGTTTCTACTCTTGAGTGCTGTGGGTGGATACAACTTAAAGGCTTGTGCAAAACCATGCCTCTTTTCCAATAAGTGTAAACTGGAACAGAACTGTTTTAGAAAAAAACAAGTCCCCAGAACATTTCATATCAGAATTGTTAACCTCAAGCAACTCTTGGTATGCTGTGCAGAGATATGAGCTGGAATCAGGAGAGCAAAGCCTGGTGAGGGAGCAGGGACATTCTGAATAACTTACCATATAGCAACACAGACTTCACTACTCTTCTCACAGATAGAAGTGATGTTGCAGTTACTCCTGCACCGATGTTGGTTTGAGCAGGTTGTTGCTTTAATATCACAAAACTTGCATAAGTTTGACATTTTCAGTCCACTTTCCTTATTTCTTTCTACAGGTGATGTAAATTCAGCTTAAGAAAAAAAAAAAAGGAAACTCAATAATGGTAGGTGATCAGATTGCATTATTGCTTATTATGAAGATAAGGTTTTCATCAGCAGCAAACATTTCCTCTTACCTTAAATTAGAAAATCTTTGATCTTTCGTAGCTACCAATTTTCTTTACAGCAAGGTAAGTGCCATGATGTCAAGACCAGGTTAATCAAAGTGAATTTGAAAAGCGAAATGAATTTCTATTGACTTCAGAGGGAGCAAAGTTGCTCTGTAATTGGCAGAATTATGCATTTTCCAAAAAATTTGCACTGAAATAGCTCCTCTGCACTCACCCATTTGCATTACTCACAGGCAGTGTGTCTGTGTCCCACGTATAACACTGCATCATGGTCTATGTGCCACAGTAACTGTAGCTTCCACACTGAGACTGCACATTAGCTGTGTGATATCATTATAACATGGATCAGCATGAAATTTGCAATTTTGTCTTTACTAATCTGAGGCATAACCTAGGTGACATCCCTAATCTGATTACTGTTCACACATAAAAATCACAGAGCTGGAACAGACTTTGAGCTTAAGGTAGATGGCCTGCCAGAGAATGTGGGTAAAGCTCAAGCTAGAAATGCAATAGGGCATCTGCACAGCTCATGTGATCTACTGCAGGAGTCTAACTGGGCCAACTGCAGGGGACTTGAACTCAAACTAACTTGCAATGACAGCCTGTCTTGTAGATGCCTGCTTTGACCCAACAGCTACTTTTCTGCACCAAGAAACTGAAGAATTGCATGCTTACTGGTTCAGAGTCTCAGTACTTGCCATCTGCTTCAGTGTGGCAGCAGTAAGGAAAGATATTTTTGTGCCAGTGTTTGAACTTCAGGAAAGATACTTTTAGCTCAAACACTATTTTGAAAAGACAATGTAACTACAAGGAACAGAAAACGCTGACACAAAATTCTTCCTAAAGCTAAAACGAACATGCAACTATCTGAAGTGGAGCAGACCATCAACAACAGTTTCAGTCTGACTCACTTTGCAATGTAATTGGAAAAGAAGGGTGAACCACTTTGAGGAGATACTGGGCTTACATGCAGCACAGCCCTTCTCTTGTAGCCACCTGCGTGTTAAAACTGTGTTCATATTGCTTTCTGTAGCCAAATGTTGCTAGTCAACCCGTAATAGGCAACCAGGGATTTATAATTTCCCCCTCTCTCTACTCAATTAGCTGAGAAATCAATTTTTTCCTTCTAGAACTTCACTTTTTACTACCATTAAACTATTTTACTACAGGAAATAAATACACATGATTTTGCCAGGAGGAAATAAAAGAGCCTCCTGCTAACATTTTCAATTGAGTTCTGAACCATTGTAAAAGATGGAGAGAAAGGTTTTCTCTCCATCCAAACCACACATTTTTCTCATCACTAGCATGCTCTGGTACTGACCTAAGGTCTCTGATCTAACAGCCACTATACTCAGTGACAAAACTTCCAATGGTTTTATGGTACAGAAGAGGATGCTGCACAGAGGGGCGGTTAGGATGAGCTCACTGGGTGTGGCATTGTGCTCCTCCCTGCTTTTGGCTCAAGCAAGAGCTAGCAGTGGTGGTTGTGAGGGCTGCACCTGGCTTAAAGCTGGACTCTGGGAAGACAGATAACAGCACAATAGCTGAGGGCCATAAAACTTACTCAGCAGCTGAGGTCTAGTTGAGCATGCGCCAAGCAAAATACAGCTGGCATGCAAATACTACTATAAGTCAATCATCTTACTCCATAAATAGGGAACAGCCCAGGGTCTGCTGAGCTCTCCTGCACAGCTGTGGGCTGCATGCCAGGATCTCCCCTTGAACAGGGATGCCTCTTGAGGTTGTGAGAATACTTATTGCACTAAATACTCAGTAAGTGAAAGGGGAATAAGCAAGCTGAAACTTTGAAATCTTAGCTAAGTGAGATAAGTGCACTGCTGTGCACATATAATCCTTTAGACCTAAGTTCCTAGCCTGGAACTAGGTCTGGATCCAGCCACACATGGAAACCACCTGAGAAAGGGGTTTAGAATGCGAGAGGGTCCTTTCTGAACCTCCTGACTCAACATGAGGATGTCTCTGACAGTTTGTCCCACCTTGTCCTCTATGCAGTAAATAACCAAGTGTATGTCGCCATCAAAGCTTGTTATAGCGCTGTCATGTTTACTATCAAGCTTTGTCAAAACAAACATTGCTACTTTTCCAAGGGAGGTGTGCCACCCCATTTGCAACACTGGGAGCTCTTACATGGGTGGAAAACGCTGGCAGGATATTATGGGCTGGCGGAATTTTAAGCCCCAGGTAAACATTTCTTGTTCTGTTGTGTTGCAACAACTCCCAGTAGCCATGTAGAGGAACAAAGCCTCATTGAAGCAGGTGTGGTAGGAACTCAGAAGGTCTTGAATGTAGTATTCTATGAAATACATGTCAACATAATCCTCACTACGGCAAATGGTACATCTCTTCTGGATGGTGTACATCTCTTCTTCCTTACCACACGCTGAAGAGAAACTAATAGCTGTTACAACTTATCTAGGTTGCAGTAATGATTGAAACAACCTGATAGTGAGGGACTGTCCCTCTACCCAGAAAAAAAACCAATCCATGGTGCTAAAAGCCTGAAATGAAAATAGAGATAAATACTGAGGGAGAGGTGAAGTGACTCACCCAAATGTACACAGGAAACCTGTGGCAGGGGTGCCTGCAACTGAGCATGGGGGAAAGGCATCAGCTGCATCTATGCCGCTTTCAGCTCTGAGCTCACGTGGCAGCTGTGGCACGATGGTAGCCTGTGCATTAACATGACTCAGTCCCCTCCAGTGGCCACAGCACTGGAGCCAAGAGCCACATGAAGGTGGGTCCTTAGGTAAACTGTTTCAAGCACATTATGTTTGTTGAGAGGAAGGGTTTGGTTCCTACGCCATCCCTGGCTGTGCCAGGTTCTACCAAGGCTCACCCACTGGAACAAATGGATGAAAATAATTATGTTTGGACCTTATATCCAGCCCAAACTACTTGATTAAAAAAAAAAAAAAAAAAAAAAAAAAAGCCATCTGGAAAGCAGCAATCCCCTCTAAAGTCATAAACCTTAAGTTTCTAAGGTAGGCATTAGTTTAATCACTAGCAACAGTAGCAAAAGGTTGGCCAGTTAGGACCAGGTAATTTCTGATCAGGTTTAATTACTATCAAAAGCTAATGGGGTTTTGGGTCTTCCAGAACTGACTACACTTGCATTTTCTCCCCAAAATTCTTCTAACAGAGGCTGACACATCAGTGACTCTTTCATGCCTCTGGCAGTTCAAATTGTCCAGGTGGACAAATTTTATTCCACATTTGGTTCAACATTTGGTTTAAAGTGAGACTGCAGTTTACTTTCCCTAAGACTGTCACAATGCTCTTGCAGATGTTGGTCTGTTTGTTATCACAGCTTGGCCTTGTCTCCTGTGATAACCCATCTAGTTCCAAACTAAAGGCACATTTGATTTTTTCTATCTGATGCTGAAACCACACCCTGCAGATGGCCTGAGGGGAAATCTGGAGTTAGATAGGAACTTTGATGTCACTCTTTGATTACAGACTGCTACTAGACTCTGAGAACTCAGAAATCTTCAAAAGATGGGTCTTCTTCCAAGTCACATGAACTCACACCTATCTTTAATCAATATAGTCCTGCCTGGAGAATGACAAATTGGTAGGATTCTTCCCTAGGAAAGTGTATTCACTCATTCCCTGAGGGACTCGTAAGCAAGGAGTGGTTCAGGACCAGCAGACTGCTCCTCTTCTTGTAGTCACTTAATTGTTCACCTCTAAATATATTTTTCTTTTTATTATTAAAAATAATTTTTATTTTTTTGTCAATAAAAATATTGACAAAATATTTGACTATCCTGCTGCACACCTCATACCACATGAGCCATCTCAAGATTTTCTCCTGTTGAGAAAACCAAAGTCACTTGAATACTGTGGACATAACCAACCTTTGATTTTGCAAGAAAGAAAATTGGATATAATGAAAAAGTTAACAGAGAAATCACAGATTTGCAAAGGTGAATGAAGCCCTTCTAAAGTGTGTGCTTGTGTCCTAAAATTTGAATTTGCCACCCACTGTCTAATGTTAAATTTCTTATTTTGACTTCTACAGGAAGCCTAATTCCAGCTTTCCTTGCTTCTTTGTCCATGGAAAGGGCTCCAAATAAAAGACTGTGCTGTCTTGGCTATGAAACTTTCAGCCAACCAGTTCAGCAGAGATCAGCCACTGTGGTTAAAATGTATGGAACATGCAAGCCAGCATGTGGACTGGACATTACAGAAGAGACACTAGAGCAGTCACATTAGAAATGTCCACTCCATGGATTCTGGTGGAGCCAGGCTTGCAGAATATCACTACTCTTCTGTGGTTCACATCTTTATTTATGATTTCCTAGGACATCATAAACAGGACACCTCAGCCAAAGTCTATTGATTTTGCTTGAAGTGGTTTGCTTTGCATCTGTTGTCTGTAGATAAGTAACTTCTATTGAGGGCTAACGTTGTACTTTACTTTTCTCCTATTTTTAAAATCATTACAGAATTCTCACAAGCTAACAACATTAAATAAAGCCCAAACATGCTGTCTTTTTGGAAATATCTACACTGGAAAACTTTTTATGTCTTCAGATGCATTTCAGAAACAGGAGCCAATTTCTCTTACTCCTATCTTGTAAAATCTTGTCACAGCACTTCTGTTCTCTTATCCAGTGTCTTTGGCACATGTATACTTATAAAGCAGCAGGCAAATCCCATCCTCCCACCCCAAAAAAATGCTGAGAGAGACATTGGGATGGGAAGTCAACTACTTAGCTGCTGTGAGATAATTCCACCTGATGGGAGAGACTTGAAGATTTCACTCCACTACATCATGGAAATCTGCCAGGAGGACAATGTCTACATCAGAGAGCCTTGAAGCAGTTTGTCCTCGTTCTCCCAAAGAGCACAGCTCCATCACATCATATATC